AGTGGATGAGTGCGTATTCCGGGATATTTTATCTGATCGGGAATATTTTTATCTGATAAAGTTTTTTTTTATCTGACCGGAGACATTATTGGGGTGGTTGGAAATAATGAGGTTAGGTGTGGAGTGAATGAGTGCGTATTCCGAGATATTTTATCTGATCGGGAATATTTTTATCTGATAAAGTGTATATTTTTTATCTGACCGGAGACATTATTGGGGTGGTTGGAAATAATGAGGTTAGGTGTGGAGTGGATGGGTGCGTATTCCGAGGTATTTTATCTGACCGGAAATATTTTTATCTGATAAAGTGTATTTTTTATCTGACCGGAGACATTATTGGGGTACTTTTATAGAAATATTAAACCTTTTTCTACAATTATTACTACTAATATAATAATAATACTAATAATAATAATAATAATAATAATATTAATAATAATACTAATAATAATAACAATAATGAATAAGGAGGAGGAGGAATAAGTTACTAACCTTTTGAGGGGTTGAGAGGAGGTTGAAGGGGGGCTCGGATAAAGGTATGTGAGGAGGCAGGTGGGGAGATGAATTTATAACAACAAAACTTTCCTCCGATCTGTAGCCAACCAATCACGAAGCCGGAAATCTAATCCTCTGAATTCAGATTTGGCAGATCCGAAAATAAGAAAGCCTGACGCAACACCCGTTTCGGAGTTCAGAAATCCGAAATCAATAAAGTTGTTTTGACCACTTTTTATTTTCGGAGTTGGGAACTCCGTTTTGGCTTTTTTGTCAAAAAAATTGGATATGTCTTATTTGGAAACACCTGTTACAAACATGCTTTGTTTCGTCATTTCCCCCTCTAAAACCGATCTTGCTGCATAAACTTCACCTTTTCTTGAGAACCTAGAAATCAGAACTGTCCAAGTCTTTGCGGAACCAGAGAAAAATTTGAGCGGATGCTCTTGTAGTTTTTTTTACAATTGTTTTTATTAGGATAAAAGAAAAATGAGTGAAAAAATTATCATTAGATATATATAGTGGGGTTCCAATAAAAAGAGTTACATAGTATTTGAAATGTGCCAACACGTGCATTTTTACTCGTTCTAATGCACTAGTAGATATATTTTTCACACTTTGTCACAATGAGAGAAAATTTTGATTTATATACCAAATTTTGAACGCGTTTTTGATAAAATGTAGTGTATTGTTTCCTGATTTTGAGTCATTAAATGTCAAGTTTAATGCACAAGATTTATTCCAATTTTCATGAAAATAACTCTTTTTTTATCCAAAACTTATATATATATATATATATATATATTTAGGTTCAAATGAGAACACCTCTTAATTTGAGAAGTGAGAACAAATCTCAACCTTTCAAAATAAGTGTCGATCAACGATCAAATATATGATGGATGAGGGCATATACGTCTTCCTCTGTCTTGGCAATTTATTTGACCGATCTAGCAGTTATGTGTTCCACATGTTTAGTAAGGAAAGAATAAACTTCAAATCATATTAATTGTTTAATTAGTTTTAGTGTTCACGTGAATTTACTTGTCTCTTATTGAAACAAAACATCTTTTTCTTTTTATAAAAACTTGTTCGGTCAACCATCATCTTCTCCCGTTTCCTCTGCTTCAACACATGCCTCTGCTACAAACACAGGCAATACATCAACTCAATTTGAAATTCCTGAAAACCCGTTCATCTCTAAGCCATAAATCTCATGAAGCACAAGTAACACTATTCTAAATGCACAATAAACCTAATCAAAGTCAGTCCATCTCCTAATGCACAAATAATTTACACTAACACACGCAAACCAAAATCAGAATTGTTGTTTCTTCAAAATCAGTAAGTTCACAGGACGTTTTCTATTATCACAAAATATCTTTTCAGATTCAATTCTACATGACGTTACAAGAACTTAATTTGAAATTCCTGAAAATCAGTTCAGATTTTAGCCGGAAATCTCGTGATGCACAACACACCGTTCTAAATGCCCAATAAACTTAATGAAAATCACTTCATCTCCTAATGCACAAAAAAATTACAGTCGCACATATGGAAGCCAAAATTGAAATTGTAACTCTTCAAAATCATTAACCTCACATATCATGTCGTTTTCTATTATCACAAGATATCCTCTGAGATGCAATTCTACACGACAGTATGCCACTACACCAACTTCATGTGAAATTCTTGAGAATCCGTTCATCTCTAATATGGAAATCTTGTGATGCACAACTCAGATGTCATTGTTCACTTGCACAATAATCTCTTTTCTGTGCACTTTTTTGTTTGTCTAATTCCCGTTGGCGACCACCTTGTATATTCAGAACTAAATTTCTTCTTTCCATATTGAAATGTGGTTATTTTTGTCAGTTTAATAACTTCTCGTAGTCTTATTGATTGTGGCCATTTTTAGGGAGTAGATCTTGGAAAACGCCACCCCATAAAAGGCATGTGCATTAGTGAATTACAACTTAACCCTTTATTATATCATCGCCCCACTTTTCGTTTATTTGAGATATTTTAGCACGCGAAGATGTCCATATTTGTATCGTGTGCCAATCACCTCACTGCCGTCCATTTAATTAGATGGTAGGTTATGATTTGTTCTTACTTCTCACAATAAGAGATGTTCTCATTAGAACTACTCCCTATATGTATATACATTGGGTTTCAAATAAAAATGCTATTATACTAAAGAAAAACTTAACATGTATAAGTTAAAGTATGTTGAAAATTATTCTAAACATTAAATGGTAGTGTCTGTATATGTCATTATTAAAACTAGGAAGAAAAACTAAAAACTCTTTTTTTTTTGTATTTCAAAATAATTAAAAGTTTTGTTATATACTCCCTCCGTCCCCGAAAGAAGTTCCTCATTTGATTTTCACACTTTTATGTAAGCAAACTTACCGGGGGTAAATTTTACTATTTTGACAATGTTTCAACACTGTTTTGCACTGTTTTGATGTTGATAACTTTCCATTTAAGGAAATGAGAACTTAAATTAGGGACATCCAAATAAGGAAAGTGAGAACTTCTTTTGGGGACGGAGGGAGTATGTAATTTTGAGGTCATTGAACTAAAAAAGAAAAAATAAAACCGCATATTCATAGTTGAAGAAAGAAAGAGTGAAAACTAATGCGTATTAAAAAATAAGAATGTAAAATAAAAGATATTAAAATTTAAAGAGTGATTTAAACAACATTATATCCTAGAATGATTCAATTGAACAAAACTAATTATCATGTCTAAAGTCCAAACAAGCAATATGAGTCACAACTAAAAGACAAATGGGAGAGGAAACAAGTTAATCCACCGCGGTGTATATATATTATCTCCCAACCGGGGCTGAGACATATATATACACTACCGCCGCCGGCGAACGGGGGGGTGGCGGCACCGGCTCGCCCACCCCTAGTTCCGCCATTGTGTCCAAGGCATTTAATCAAACACGTATCTAGGGTTGTTAACGACCCGAGCCGAGCCCGAACACTCAAGGCTCGAGTTCGGCTCGATAAGGAATTAGTGGTGTTCGGGTTCAAGCTCGAAGCTCGGCGAGCTTTACAAATGAGGCTCGTGTTCGGCTCGATAGGTGTTCGGTGTTCGAACCGACCGCTCGATAAGCTCGATAAATATACTCGAATTTAAAATTTTAGGTCATGCTCGTTAATAGCTCGTGCTCGAATGATTCAGCAAGTATTCGGTTCGTTAATAATCATATTTAAATTCATAAAATCATACTAATTATATTTAAATTTTGAATATATATAAAATTATATTTATAATTTTATGGTGTTCGATAGGCTTGAGTTCGAACCGAGCCGAATACTACTATGTTCGAGCTCAGCTTGATTAATTTTTCGAACTTAAAACTAAGCCTGGGTTCGAATTCAGAAGCTCGTTAAGCTCGACTCGTTAGGTTCGAAACCGAGCTCGAACTCGAATAGTTCGATAAAAGATCGGTTCTTTAACCGCCCTACATGTATCTTGCAGATTCCATTTCACCAAGAACATAGTACATACCAAGCAGACCATCCCCAACAAAGCTCTGAACCAGGAATCCCAGTTTTAGGCAATGCCCATGAATTGATCTGCCAAGGTTGCAATTTCACATATCAGCACAATCTCTTAAGAGATGAGGGAGGGAGTAGTTATCCGGGCATTTTAATTTGTATTAATATAAGTAAAACTAAGAGAGTTGTTAATGGTGCCCTACATAATGATGGTGCCCTAGGAATTTGCGGTGCCTCCCGGCTCTGGGTTGACCCTTCGTTGTACACGTTTAATTAATTAATAAAGGCTGAAGGGTCAAATAGACCCTTGTACCGGTCGTGTAAGCTCAATTTAGTCCCCGAACTAAAAAAAAGTATAATTCACACCCCGAACCGACAAAAAATGGTTCCAATTTCATTTTTGACGGGTAAACAACCGTTCATTTTTTTAATTTTTTTATTGTTTGTGTTTTTATTTTCGATTTATTGCAATTTTGAGACTTTTTAATAGTTTAGGTGTGCGAATTGAACTTTTTTTACCGGTTGTTTAACATTTATAAAGTGAAATTTGAACTCTTTTGACGGTTCGAGGTACGAATTGGACATTTTTTTAATTCAAGGATTGAATTGAGCTTACATAATTGGTACAAGGACCTATTTGAACTTTTAACCATTAATAAATTATAGTTAAAGTAGAGTATATAAATATTGAAAGTCAAACTATCGCGAATTATTGCATTTCGGGCATGCCCACACTCAGGTTAATTAGTGGGAAAGTAAATTATAGTTAAAGTAGAGTGGATAAATATTGAAAGTCAAACTATCACGAATTATTTCATTTCGGGCATGCCCACACTCAGGTTAATTAGTGGGAAAGAGTGGAAAGATCAACAAGAGACTGACTTTATACATGTTAGTATTGATGTACTAAAAATCATATTACGGAATACGGAGTATATTATTAAAAATAATCGATGCAAGTTTGTCAATTTTGCATTTTCATAAATTTTATTAGTAATTAAGTAAATATATTAATGATAAAATTGTGTGTTACAAGACACATAACAACTAAATAATACTACGTACGGAGTAACACATACGCAATTATTTATTCAACTAATTCCTGTGCAAGACACGATTGGAATGCTATTAAAGGAGTGTTTGGGTTTGTTTAAAAAAAGCGCTTTTCAGCTTTTGACTTAAAAAAAGTTGAAAAAAGTGTTTTCAAATGATAGCTTCTGGTTAAATTAATCACTTAAAAGCTAAAAGCTGGAAGCAGGTAGAAGGGTGCTTTAAACTGCTTCTCACTTTTTCTATTACACAAAAAGTACTTATTTTACCAAACACTACCAACTTTTACTTTTCCAGAATCACTTTTTTCTCAAACACTACCAACTTTTACTATTAATCACTTTTCCCAAAATCACTTTAAAAAACCACTTTTTTAAAGTTGAAGCATTTGCAAACACTCCCTAAAACTAATAGGGTAAAAATATGAATTGACACTCCCTTATCGATCCGTATCTCCCTTTTCATAGACAAACCTTACAAGATGAAGTTTAAAATTATTGAAAATTAATCGAAAAAAAAAACACGGAGAAGCTAACGTGTGAGGCAAGTCAGTAAGTCTCCCACGCCCGGATCCGACAATGTATCCCAGCGAGTGAGGCAGGTTAGTAGGGATTGGGATCCTCGGATGGGGGAAGAGCGGCCTCGGGATCTGCGCTTCAACATCTCCGACCGTCCATCTTTTGATCGGATGGTTCCCGAGGGCCGGGCACCGTGCCTTACTTTGAAGTATGGCAGAGGTTCCGGATCCGGTTAGTAGTTGTTAAAGACTTCATGGAAGAAAGCCTCAAGAAAGTTTAAGGACGAGCCACCCTCCTCCACCGCCTCTCTACTTTTTTCTTTAAGTTCTTTTGCCTTCTTCCTAGCAGCTGAAGGGTCCATCAGCTTTCTAATTTTGGCTTCTATCACCTCTGAATCCACCGTCTCGGGAACTTTTTCAGAACCAATTGGTTTTTTGTAATCCGACTTAAGATCCACTCCCATCCCGATATCCGTCACCAATTGGAATGCATTCGCCTGCTGCTCTGCGTAAATCGGCCAAGTCGCCATGGGAACCCCGAACCAAACGCTCTCCAGTGTCGAATTCCATCCGCAGTGCGACACGAAGCCCCCCACGGCGGGGTGGGCTAGAATGGCGGCTTGCGGCGCCCACCCGATCACTTTTCCGATGTCTTTCATCCTTTCCAAGAAACCTTCCGGCAGTACGTCCTCCGGGTTGTTGAGGTCGGTGGGGTAGAAGGCTCCTTGTGGCGGCGGCGGCTTCCTCAGAGCCCACAGGAACCTCTGGCCGCCGCGCTCGAGCGCGTGGGCGATCTCCTTCACTTGAGGCTCCGGGAAACTGCCGCCGCTTCCGAAGCAGAGGAACACCACCGAAGAATCCGGTTGGCTGTTAAGCCATTTCAAGATTTCTTCGCCGGAATCTCCGTTCTTTTCGCCTTGCAGGTTGAGTACGGGTCCCACTGGGTACACGGGTGGGATCCTCCCTTCTTCTCGGCGCAGAAATTCAATTGCGTGCAGTTCAAGCTCAAGGAACGTGTTTACCAATATGCCCTTCGCCTTCCGGATTCCCTTTGCAAAATCCGAAAACGAGTCTGCGGCGCCGCCGCTCTTGTCCAGCGCAACAGCTGGCAGAAGCTTTACAGGGAAAGGTTTAGAATAAGTCGGGATTTCCAGATCTGGGTCCGACTCCTTGAACTCGGTGACGTCTTTTCCATGGTCGTCTCTGAGACTCTGAAGATGGAGATGAAGTCCGAGCATTCCGGCCCCGGAAGTGTAGAATACGTACGCCGGAATCCCAAACTCGTCGGCCACGTCCATCATTCCCACACAGAACATGTCCACAACAATTCCGGCGAGCCTTGTGCCGCCGGAAGCCGTCTGGGTCTGGATTCCGCGGACAATTTCACTGGCGCTTTGCTTGTGAGATTCGATTAAGGAGCCGAAAAAGGGGGTCCTTTTAGTGTTATCCGTCCCCGTCATAGCAGAGAGAAGCACGAATTTCAATCCGGATAACGATTCGGCGTTGGCTGAAAGAAGAGATTCGATGTAGGAGCTAAGCTTGGAACCGAAGGGAGGTTTCATGAGCAATACAGAGATAGAGAGATCATCGGGGCGGCGTTTCTGAAGGAGGAGCTTGGCCATTTCGATGGCGGAGAGAAGGTGGCCCATTCCAAGGGCCGGAATGAAAACCAGCTCTATTCCTCCTTTCATTTTCTCGTTTACACTAGTTTTACTTGTGGATGGAGAGGGGTAACTATATATGATAGGTATGAGCTCGGATAGTCTCATAGTCGCGTTTCTATCGATATACGAAGATTCGAAGAAGGAGATGTTACTACTCCGGATGTATTTTGAAGAGTGCTCAATTTTCTTGCAAAACACGAACTCTTGACATCATGGCTTCGCTGGAAGTTTGGGGTGGAGCCCACTTCTCAATCTTCGAGTCAACATGTCTGGCGGCCAATTTTCCATCAATCTTCCATCCATTTGCAAACTTAACATTTCAAATGCTTTTGCTTTAAAAAAAACACTTTTGTGATTTTTTGAAAAAGTGATTAGTAGTAAAAATTGATAGTGTTTGAAAAAAAAGTGATTTTGAAAATTAAAAGTTTGTAGTGTTTGGTGAAATATGTGTTTTTTGTGTAATAGAAAATGTTAAAAACACTTTTCGCACAAAAGCCGAGAAACGTTTTTTTAAATAGAACTTGTCACTTGAAAACCCTAATTTTAGTTTTTTTAAAGCCAAAAGCAAAGAATCTCTTTTTAAACTATTGCAAACACTCCCTTAGAATGAACTATAATATTTCTCCATTTAAAAAAAGTCAAACAATGACACTTTCTTAAATTGTGTATCAAAAGAAATGGCACCTTTATATAAGGACGAATGAAGTATTTAAGTTCAATGTTTTTTACATTCACAAGTTACCTTAAAATCTTTCAAAAACTTATAAACATTTAATTAGAAAATAATTAAAAATCGATATCTGAATTAAGTAATATAATTAAATGTTAATTTAGGATTGAGGTAGTATTTTTTTTAGTAAAATGCATGAATGCTTCTTGAACCGTCATCATCATATCATTTTGATCCTATATAAGGACTTATTTAATCTCTTTTATGCAATTTCGAGGACTGTGAAACAAACTTAAGTATTTACTTAAAATTGATTGCAAATAATAATATATGAAAATATTGGGTACAATCTCTAAATATGAATCCTCTAATTCTTCACTTGCAATTTGAAGTAATATAGTTAAAGAATTTAATTTAAAATTAAATCTCTAATCCTTCAAATATTCGAACGTTCTTCGAACCTTCGAATCTTCGAACCTTCGTTCTTTGGATCTTCAAATATTCTTGAATAAAGAATTCAGATTGAAGGGCCTCCGGTTTTCAAGTGGCTTGATCTTCAACAAAAGGGCCGTTTTATGGCTTAATCTTCTGTTTAAGGGCCTCCCGGGATATATGGCTTGATCTTCAATTGAATTTCGATTCAAACTTCATATGAATATTTTCAAATCTTCAAAGATTCGTTCTTCATATCTTCGAATCTTCAAAGTCTTGTTCTTCAGATCTACGAATCTTCGAGCTTCATTCTTCAGATCTTCGAACGTTCTTCAACTTTTGGACTTATTTTATCAAGAATTCATGAAATCACAAAGTATTATTCATATATTCTTGAAAAAAAATCGTGGCTTGGCCTCTTCCTCTTCTTCGGAATCGTTCAGAGCCTCTCGGGAGTTTTTCAGAACTTTGCTGTAGCGTTTTTTTGTCTGAAAGTTCTCCTCTTTCACTCAATTGAGACCCCTATTTATAGGTGTGGAGGGGGTGAAAATATGGCTTTAGGGTTCCAAAATTCGTCCATACCTCATGGGCCTCAATTAAAATGGGCTTTGGGCTCTATTTGCTTGTATTTAATAGCTAGAAAAATCAGCACTTGTTTGATGTATCTGGACAGCCTTTTTAACAAGGTTCGCAGCCACTTTCCATGTATAAGGACATATTTCTTAACCAGATTCATTGCTTTCTTTATCAATTGGGTTGCCTCTTATGTATTGAGCCCATATTTGACAATGGGATCGAAATTAATAGGATCGGTCCATTCTTTCAAAGATTTAATTTATAATCAAATTAATTGGATATTTTAGTCACCCAAATTAATTTAATCACTAAATTTCTTCTCAAGTTGTCCATATCACTATCTTCTTCTTTTTTATAAGACTCGAAGAGCACCACGAGCGGCCCGGCAGAATTGGTCAATGGCCCAATAACATTCAAAGGAGGCCCAAAAAAGTTGAAATAGCATGATAGCATTTAAAAGAAGCCTAATGATTATCATAAACAACCAATATTTTTTTAATGTCCATAAGGAAAACGATCTCGAGATAGGTGAAAACATAGACCCCAAAATCTCTGAGTGATGAATGATTGAATTCTTGATCGGGCAGTTCCCCTTCACCAGACACCATATCTTGGTGCTAAAGCCAAGGCAAAGGCACTAAAGGAGTGTTTGCAATTGCTTCAACTTTAAAAAAGTGATTTTTTAAAGTGATTTTGGGAAAAGTGATTAATAGTAAAAGTTGGTAGTGTTTGAGAAAAAAGTGATTCTGAAAAAGTAAAAGTTGGTAATGTTTGGTAAAATAAGTACTTTTTGTATAATAGAAAAAGTGAAAAGCAGTTTAAAGCACCCTTCCACCTGCTTCCAGCTTTTAACTTTTAAGTGATTAATTTAAGTAGAAGCTGTCATTTGAAAACAATCTTTTTAGTTTTTTTTAAGCCAAAAGCTGAAAAGCACTTTTTTAAAGCAACCGCAAACACTGCTTAATTCCGTTTCCACCCGTGTACACAATGGTATAATAGATTTTGATTATATTCGAAATCTAGATTATAACTGTAAAAGAAATCTAGAAATATGTATGGGTAGTAGTAATTCAAAGTTAAGATGTCTTTTGGTGACATTTGTTTTCCACTTATGAGTTACTCACACTTTATTTGCAACCACTTGTGCTCAAATAAAAGCACTTTTGGGAAAAAGTGATTAGTAGTAAAAGTTGGTAGTGTTTGGTAAAATAAGTGCTTTTTGTGTAATAGAAAAAGAAAAAAGTAGATTCTACATGGAAGCCGAGAAAATAAAAGTTGGTAGTGTTTGGTAAAATAAGTGCTTTTTTCTTTAAAAAAAAAGCCAAAATCACTTTTCTTAATGATTGCAAACAAACCCTCAGTCACATCACTCAATTCTTTTCCCAAATGTGTGAATTTTATTTCGTGCGGTGAAATGTTTAATAATTAAAATAAGCAAGGTTGAAGTTATATTTCTGAAGTTGTTGAGTTTATATATATTCCGCGTGAGTTATATGTTTAACCATTTTTCATAAATTTTTTTCTTTATATTATTGATAAAATGTGTTTTAAATATAATTTTTGCATAGAATAGAGGCATAATTTTTCTTTATATAATTCTTCTTTATATAATTTTTTATATGATTAGAGGCATGTTTTAATGATAAAAAAATATAATTTTTATATAATTCAGTAAATTCAACCAATTCAGACATTTCAGTCAAATTTAATCAATATTTGCATAATCATGCGATTAAGCCAATTCCAATTTTGTTAAAGGCCGGCCTCTAAATGGTTTTGATTGTTACACAATTAATATGTGAAGTCACTAGTTAAGTATTATATTCAGTAAAGAGATTTATACTTATACTAGTATCCTTACCCGTGCCGTGCACAGGATAAGATAGAACTGTCATGTTTTTATTTTTGAAATAAGAGTAATTACTGTCATGCTTTAAAATATTGTCATTTTCAAAGATTGGTACTGCCAAAACATGACAATAATTACTCCTATTTTAGGAATAAAACATGATACTCATATTTTCGAATATATATATATATATATATATATATATATATATATATATATATATATATATATATATATATATATATATATATATATATATATAAACGTTTTTAGTTTTACATAACGTAATTTCCCTTTTATTTTAATTTTACTATATGTGTGTACATGCACTCGTATATGTATGAGTTATTAGAGCTAACGGAAGTTACTTATTTAGTCGATTATAACATTGATGATGTATATTCTTATTTATTAAGTATGTCTTATTTTTTAACTAATCATCTAAACATGTTTTCAATCTATATTATCCAATCAAAAGAGCCAATTATTTTATATCTCTTGTTGCATCCAAATGAACCTCGTCTTTTCAACCATCTTTAATTTATCTATAGAAAAATTTGTCCAAAGCCTATTTTCATTAATTAGATTTCATCTGTAGTTTAATATTTTTTCAAAACTAACAACTATACATTTTTGTTATTTATTCATTTAATAATGAGCGCGTCCATTCTTGAAATTGAGCAAATTTGTCATTTTATCTCCTTTAAGAAAGGAGTCCAAAATATATATTTTTGTAATATTCTGATTTTAATAAAGGTGATAGCGGTGACAACAGACCAACTGCATAACGTAATTAATAGTGTTCGATTTATTTTTCATTAGATTGATTTAAAATAAGTATTATTGAACGAAGAAATCTAAGGTAGCAAATGATTTAAAGTCTTAGTAGGCGATTTTTACCTAGAAGGTCAACTAAATTAAATTTATAAAGAGTTTCTCACGTCAAGTAGTACGTAATAACGGAAACATAAACAGGTAAAAATATGCAATAAAAAATAAAAAATAAAGATGCCCCGTATTAATAAACAAAAATGATTTCAATTTTATAACCAAATCGTACTATATTAAAGTTACATCCATGAGTAAAAGAGTTATCCTTTATACACAGCCTAACTTATTTATCTAACTGTTAAACACCACTTTTAGTATCATGATATAATTGGTATATATGTAATTAATAAAGCTTTCAGAGATATCAAACTCTTGGTAAAAATATATTAAGATTTATTTTCATATTTAATTCATACACTAAGGTAAAAATAACTTTGTAGATCAGATCAAAAATCGATTCCCATTCAAAATATCATTAATTAGAAAGGTGAACACTAATTTGAGATAGCATTAAAACAGATGTGTATTTAGCGAATTTTAACACATGCAGTCTTATTTTTAACCCTTGTAAGAAATGTTTAATTTTTTTAATTTTATCATACTACGTAGAATGTAAGAAAATTATTTAACGGTGTTGCTCCATGACATCTAAAGATCAAGATTTACTGGAAAGAAGTTGCCGGTATCTAATTTAAAAGTCATAAGACCCGGTACTTGTGTAAAAAGTACTACATAACATTTTTGGACATCAACGGTGATATGAGAC